GGTGGGATGTGGCGGAAACGGCCGCCGATTGGCTGACGAGAAAATTAAGTAAAAATGAATACTCTTTATATTCAAATACTTAAAATTATAAGTGTGAATAATTATTTTAACGATCTACAATAAAACTTATTTGGTTGTAAACCTTGCCTTCGAATTAAACTGATTTCCGTACCTTTCAATGGTCAATCCCACTTCTGAACGGTATACGGTATGGAGATTACTAAACATTTCACAATAGAAAAAAAAACTTTTTTTGAAATTTTACAAGAAAACCGCTGTATTTAATACGTACTTTAAATACATATACTAAGGGGTTTTTTTTTAATCAACTGAACCAAATAGAACACGTACAGGTACTACACTATATGTATACATTTTTCAAACGGCTATAATTTCGTTTGTAAAAAAATTAATTCTGAAATTAAGCCAGTGTCCCTGCTGCTCGACCCGAGCAAAATGAATCGTATTAGTACAGCAAAAATTTTAATTTGAGCTGAGGTAGTTTAGACTATTAATGCTTCCACATTATGTTTACAATCTGTAGGTACAACTAAAACAACAATGTGAGAACCCTACGCTCCAAGGGGCAAGCTTTGATGCGCCACAAAAGCAGCAGATACACCTAATTGTCTATGGTTTTACAATAGCTGTAACTGTACCGGGGTTGTTGCTGATGCAGGCTTTTCAAACATCACCGAAAGCTGATGTGGAGGTTGATTTTTGCCCTTAACATTAGCGAATGCTGATTTTATTGTATATAAAAAAAAAGCGAAAAATGTACATCCTTTCTGAATTTATTTGGTATTGTAATAAAATATTATTTCAAAGATTTTGTGACATTTTTAACAAAGTAATTAATCTTCTGGAAGGTTATTCGTTCTGGAATTTTATCAAAGTTATATTTTAAAAACAAAAGCTGAACTGTTTTTTCGGCTTTATGGAAGGTTTGTAAGTTATTCCAGCGTGTCGCCTTTTAGGTCATGTCATGACTTGACCATACGCAATGAATATCATGATGAATGCTGGGGGTCTACTAACATTCTCCGCCCGGCATCCGTCCGTAGTTGAAAATAATTGTTTCGGACGGAGAACGAGGGTACAGGGCCTGATGCGGATGTGGATATTATAATTTGTGCAGATTATCCGATGCTAATATTCGCTGCAACCCTGAACTGTACCAACAGTAATTTCTCAACTTTTCTTAACATCTCACCTGGTGAAGCGTAAGGGTCGTGTTGATAGGGAGGCGCGGGCGCAGGCGCGGCGGGCGGCTGGTAGTACTGCGCGCCCCACTCGCCTGCGTAGTACGGCTCTTGGTACTGCGCCGGGCCTGCGCTCTTGGGCGACGCGTAGCGCGAGGGTGAATCGTGCCCGAATTCATCACTGCCATACTGTAACAAAGAAATTGAGAAATTAGACATGCATTATACTTTTCACATAGACAAGGTTCAAATGGCTTATTTGCCTGTGAGAACTTATGAAAGTCTCTTCACTCAGCCAGGTTTAGTAGCTCCTTGTGAAAGAGTTCGTCTCAGGGTGACAGGCGCAGTGGCAGTGCCCCTAAGGTCTTTGCAATTTAAAGCTATGAATGGCACTGAAACTGTTATGGATAAACGTGTCGTTTACCCTCAGGCGCACGACGTGCTCGCCCCGTCGCTTGGTATTATAGTATATATAAAAAATAAAAATACAAACTTTTGTTTGAGGTAAAGAAATGTCTAAATAATTAGTTATATTATTCGTTTAACAACAAATCGTGTCAACGTTAAACGTAATCTGTAAATGGTTATTATAAGTCTATTGAGTTAGTGTTGTGAAACCAGACCGAATTAGGTCTAGACTTGGCTATTGTCTGGATTTTGGCACGAGTGTGGGTTGTTCGAGTTTAGATTTCACTGTGGTTTTGGTATAGAAAGCAGCGATAGCCTAGTCGAGAGAACGTTCGATTTCTATTTGGGGGTTGTAAGATCTATTCCCAAAAGGTATTGTAAGGAGTTTCTAAAGGAATATTTAGCAGAACAAACAAAAAAACATTAGACAACATCACGTACGTAGCTCTGAACCCAAAGTAAGTAAAGCACTTGTGTTATGGAAATCGGAAACAACGACGGTACCACAAACACCCAGAACCGAGACAATATAGAAAACTTAGTTTCTACACTGACCCGGTCGAGGATTGAAACCGGGAACTCAAAGATGGCGACATCGTGAAAACCGGTGTGCAAGGCACTCGATCGCGGAGGCCGTCTAAATGTTTATATTAATTTTTGAAACATATTTGTGAAAACAGTATGCTCTACGCGTGACCCGTGCCTAGCAGTGGGATGTATGCGCTACGTGCCACTTTTTAAGCGAACACTCAGTTTTTAAAATAAAATTAATTGTTAGTTGTACCTTTAATTCAATTGAATTTAATTCTCAATTAATTAATTTATTAATAATAATTTTCTGTTACAAAAATTAAATAGAAAATTTAGAAAGATAGAAATTTAGGAATCTAAATAAAGAAACTTTTTTATATATTCAAATAAACAACAATTAGACTCAACATCGACCTAACATAGCTATGAAAAAACAATAACAACATCTAGCTAACCCTACCCTTAACCACTTGGTCTGTGTCCTTTTCGACTTCGACCTTTATTGATAGAAATCCTTAAACAAACAACATTTTTTTTTTGTGTTAAAATTTAAAAAAACTATAAAAGTTTCACATTGACTAAACCACAGTTTAATCAATAAAAAAAAACTTTCAAATAAAGTTCACGAAATTATCAAAAACTTCTAACCCCTCAAGAAACCTGAATTAGTTAACAGAAAATTACAAACGAACAAAAACAATGACAATCGACTACTTTTTATTACAACGACTTTTTATTTTCAAATTAGTATTAAGTATTATGTGCTGCAGAGCTCCTTGTGAAAGAGTTCGTCCAGGGAAATACTGCCACCTTACCTATTAATGCCGCCAAGCAGAAATGCGAGCATTTCAGTGTACTGGTTTTGAAGGGTAAGGGTACTGGTGAAATTACTGGTACATGGGACTTGCCAACTTATGTCTCAGGGTGACGGGCGCAGTGGCAGTAATATCTGCGATTTAAATTGAATTGAAATTGAAATTACTCCTCAGATCTTTGCGATTTAAAGCTCAGAGTGGTACCGCAACTGTTATGGACAGTTGTGTAGCTTAACGTCAGGCGCACGGCTTGTTAACCGTCACTTGATATTATAAAAAAAAGTTTTAAAATTCAATTTTAAAACAGGACGTAATATATCGAGTTCTTAGGTTTTCGCGATTGTTACACATAGGAAATGAAACTATTTTTCCGGATTTAAATCGCGTACATTTGTTTATATTTGTTTTTTTCTGTAAAGGGCCCGAAACGTCGGTTTGTTTGAAAAACAAATATACGCGAAAAATAGTTTCATTTCCAACAGGACGTAATATTTTAAAACAGTTGTGCTCACATAACACGTGCTCTACACTACAAATCTACGAATTGTCCCTTACGCCCTTTCACTCATTTACGGTGGACTTTTTTGCCACCGCAATTGGCTATCATACGGTTATATTGCATATGCATACACGGCTATACTGCATCTGCCATCACCACACCTCGCAATATGAACCGAACAATTCAACGAAAAAAAAAAAACAAAACCGCACCTGCGTACGTTTATTTGTTTACCTTTGTTCTATTTACAGTGGCCAATTACCACAGCTTTTAAGTTATATAAACATTGCTTCGACACTTAATCGTAAACAAAATTACCCAACGTACCCAAAAACGTATGAAATGACTCATTTCAGGTGCTGTACCAATATGGCTTCTGCCATATAGAGTCGCTGGCCGTATTCATAGATTATCTGTGCAAGTCGAGAAATTCGACAGCGCGTATTATGCAGCTTTTTGTAGCCTAGAGCTCAATGTGAAAGTGTTCGTCAAGGAAACTACTGCTACCTTACTTATTTCTGATGCCAAGCAGCCATATAAGCATTACTGCGTTCCGGTTTTGACGGGTGCAGGTAAAATTATATAATATAATATAATAATTGTGTTGTGTTAAGCCAGTGTTAAAATCTTCAAAGCTCTGAGTGGCACTGCAACTGCTATAGACAGGTGTGTCGCTTATCAACAGGCGCACGACTTGTTCGTTACACACTACAGCAATAAACTCTCGCTAATGGCGAATGAAAATATTGTGACGAACCCTGTATTTCGAATACGGTTCACGAACCTTGAAGTCCCCAACTCGCAGTAGAAGAGAGTGGTGGACTATGACCTTAAAAGCTCCCCTTTGAGAGCATCCGTAGCTAGCAGCAGGATATATAATGGATTGATGATGATGACGATAAGAAACATACTTAGCGCTTATGTCCACTGCATCCGATTCCTACTCGTTCAAATCTAAAAAAATTGTACCCACTTCGGATGTCGCCAGTGCACTAAGTCCAATTGGAATCCGAGAAAATGCTAATATCGCTTGTACGCCTGGAGGTAAAATGATCCCTGTGACATTTCGGACCGTCATTTCTCGGCTTCGGAACTTATACGAACCGCAATTATTACGCTAAAAGTATTTTAACCGAAGAGTCATTACTAAATGGAAGACCACGTATTAGGTAAAGATGTATAGAAAGACGACATGGCTGTAGATTCCACACAAATTTGATTCAAAGTGTATTTATTCCATAACATTAAAGTTTGTTTGAAAAGAACAATCCCTAGAGTTTCTTACTCGTTACTTTACGAAATAAATTATTTTTTGACTTTGACACAAGTCGCACGAACCGTAATGTATTTGTTGTAGTCATCGAGTATATAACCAGAAATAGTGACGAAATAAAGGGCATCCATCATGGCAACTCATCAGGCAAATGGGCCTTATATCACTTTTAAATATCAACTCTCGTTTGCGCTGAAATCACAAATTAGAAAGCTGAAATAGTGCAGCGTCAACAACTGACCTGTGTGTACGTCTCCGTATATTCCAAAAATGTCTGTATTTATTGTAATAAAGATAATATCTACAACAATGCGGGGCTGTTGCAATCAGTGATGTGGGAAAAGCAGCAAAACATCTAATTACAAAACAAACGAAATCACATTTCATCGGTAAGTAAATATTAAATATGTAATTTTGCAATTTTCGTCCATTATAGCAAAGCTCAAGTTAGTTAATTGGTCGATTTGAAGTGAAACAGTTGACGACATACGTCAATTGTTTCGAATTCGGGCTAGCCAATCGGAGCGCAGTTGTCACCGTAATAGAATAGTTATCAAACAAATTAAATGACATTTCGTCTCTATTTCTGGTTATATACTCGATGTTGTAGTTTTACACAAAAATCTAAATATTGACATTATGAGAACAGGCCATTTTGTGCCTTAGTTTTGTTCTATCGTTCTATTGCCTTTTAAAAACAATTTCGAAACATAATAACCGCATTAATAATTCAATAACACCAGTAGTATTGTTACGTGTTATTCTCTTTAACTGCAAGTTCAGAAAACAAGTTAGAAACTTCTGTTAAGTTGAAGTAATTTAACCTTAATTGTCGGCTAAGTTACAACCACGACCTCGGAACTTTAATATTTTTTCTAAATAATTTTTCAAACTATACAAGTTTTCATTGTACGGGATGTAATCGTTTTGTATAAAACACATTCCATTAAATTTTACCAACTCCTGCTGTCCCGATTTTTGTTGTCTCATACAATGAAATGGTCCTTACATGAAACGGAGTTGATCAGCACTAAAAAAAAATTGATCATTTTTATTAATTTTTATGATAACTCACACTTGACCAAATGACTGACTATGCCATTATATTCTTATTCAATTAAAAGATAATTTTATTTCTTTATTTGTATCGGTTTCTGTTAACTTATTTTTACCTCTTACAGTAGGAAAACTAAGCCTCTCTACGAATGTCATATTAAATGTATAAGACCTTTTAATGTTAAAATTTTGGATATTTCTAGCTTTATTTATAAAAAGTTATTGATGTCGACTTATTCATTCGGTAACGAACTTTCGATATCAGTTTAAAGCCTTTTGATATCTCTTATATTTATGGAATAATCGCCTGGGCACACTTAACGATTACACTCTGTGTAGGGTGATATTTTATTAGCGCCCTTTACGAAATAATTAAAATCTGAATAATAATAAGGACATTTATCGACACCTCTCACGTGAGTTGTTCTATGTCAAAATACCCTTTTTTGCTTTTTAACGTAAATACATCATTTTTTATGCATATTATAGGTTCTATGTCTGAAAGTAAACATAACACTAGGTGATTTTTTGCTTTTAATTATGGAACCTATAATATACATAAAACATAACCCTCCTTCTGACATAGTCGGATAAAAAAAGGATATAT